CCTAAACTTTTCCTAGGAAGGCTGTAATAACCACACACTAGCCTTCCTGTTTCCAGCCTTGTTTCTGTGTCCCATTTACCTTATTACAGGAAGAAAGATCTTTCTAAAGTGCAAATGTAATTAAATCTTTTCCAGCTTAAAACTTTGTTTCCCACTACCCTCAGAAAAATAATCGGCACTCTTTCATATGGAATGCAAAGCCATCAACGATAATGTCTGTGTCTCTCAATAGATTCCTGTCTTTTCTTATATTTCCTTTGCCCTTTGTGTCTCTTCATGCAGGCCACAGGGAACTATGCTGCCTTTCTAGGTGTTCTAATTGGTCCTTCTTCACCTTAAAATGGAATGCAGCATTTCAGATGTGATATGATCAACACTAAGTAAACAAAAATGGTCTCCTAACTTCTCCTTTACTGAAATGATTGTTAATATTTTGGTTGTTGTGGTCTCGGTATTTATTATTTATTTGTTATAATGCCTTTCATTCAGTAGATTTTTACATTCACAACACTATCTAACCCCAAAACATTATTTTAAAGCCCAGTTTCAATCTTACTGTTATCTCAAAGCATATTAATAGGGATGCATTTATTTGCTCTAACTAGAATACCTATCAGATAGTTACTTAGTCCCTCCTCCTCATACCTGTGATAATGAATTTATTTCAGCTTGGCAGTATTAGTGTTGGTATTGACCTGTCACCAGATGACCAGATGATATGTATTTCGGTCTTTATAGTATTATTTCATAGTTTGCAAAATCAAGATGCATTCCTCTGAAACTGGCTAGCTGGTTTGGAAGTAAAGCAGTTGTTTCTTTTCTTGTCAGTCCTTCATCTCCTCACCCCCAGGGGAATCAGGATGCCCCACATTATGTTTAAAAGCCTAAACACATCAAACTTTTGTTCTTCTGTTGGATTTGAAAGGGGGACATTATTAACTCTGTCTTGATGTAGCAGGGGCTCTGAAAGTCTATTTGGATAACACTGAAGATTGGAGGAAATGTGACTCTGTCTGTATGTTTTAAGCCCCTAAGGTAAGATCAGAAAGCGTCTGGGGCAGTGAGAGCCAAATAGTTGAAGTCATACATTAATTATGGTCATGAATCATTTTTATTTTTAAAGTCTTTACCATTTGACAAGGTTGTTTGCATAGTACCAGTGAGTTTCAGGCAGCGTTTTCCCCCTTTTAAAGTAACAGGCTATTTTGTTGATTTCTGCTCTGAATTGATAATGCCTATTATTATCAGAATTCTGATAACATTTTTAGTAAAAATTGCACATTTCCTTACCTAAGTGAGTGGTCTTTATTTGATTTTTGTTTTGAATATAATATTTAAAAATTTTAAATACAGAAAACTATCTCCTTAATATCTCAATCCCCCACTGATATCAGTAAAAAATAATCACATCTTAGGACTGAGCTTTTATATTCAGGAGTTAGTTGCCGTTCAGTTCGCAAATATATACTGAGTGCCTCCTTTGTGCCACATCCTGTGCTAAGCACTGGGAATGTATTTGAAAATGAGAGGTTGCCCCCCCCCCCCCGAAAGATCTAATAAGGAAATAAACAGTTGCTATAAAATATAGTTCTGTAATCTTTGTTAGTGGTATTTATATACATGATGCTGCAGATTTCTATAGAAAGGAGTGCCTGTACCTGTCTGGAATAGTTCAGAAAGGTCTTTGAAGAAGAGGTTGTGTTTGAGCTGCCTCTTTAATGGACTCAAGACTGTCCTTATCTGTGAAGAGGTAGGGAGGACTTACAGGCGGATAGATCAGCTCACTCAAAGTTACAAACAAATGGTATGGTGTGTTTAGGGAATTGTCGGTGGTTTGGTTTTGTTGGAACTGAGCTCGCAAGGTAAGGAATATCAGGAAATAATGCTGCAGATGTTTGCTGGGACCGCATTACAAGGGGCCTTTCCTTGCTTTTAAATTTCTTTAGAGCAAACTTTGTAAGAGAGTATTACTATCAAAAGAGTGTATACACATACACTCCCATAGCAAGAGGCAATAGGATGGAATATAACCTCTATTGGAGGAGCTTTGAGGAAGTTGCTTGTATAACCGATCTTATTAGCAACCTAGCACTAATAAGAGTTGCTCCTTTAGATGACCTAAGAAATCCTCAATAACTGTCAGGCAGTTTCTGAAAGTGCAAAATACGTCATGAATATTTTTAGTGCGTAGTGTCATCATCATCATAATGTTGGCAGAGGTATTGATGCCATCAAATCCCTAATGAAATTAACCTTGTATATAGGATATCTTTCAGATTGGGATTGTTGAGTAATTTTTAAAAACTGAGGTAAAACTTGCATACAGTAAAATGTGTAGATCTTAAGTTTAAATTCCATGTATAACTGTGTACCCTCATCCCAGTAAAGATATATAGGATATTTCCATCACCGCAGAAAGTTACTTTGCCCCACCCCCACCCCCGTTCTCTACCAGTCAATTCCACCCCACATGGACAACCAGCGACTCTTGATTTCTGTCACTATGGATTGCTTTTACCTGGTCTTGAACTATGTATAAATGGAGTCATACAGTATACTTTTTGTTACTGGCTTTTTCACTCAACATCATTGTTGTTGACATTCATTCATATTGTTGTGTATATATCAATGGTGTGTTCCTTTTTATTGATGAGTGGAATGTCATGATTATACCTCAATTTGTTAATTGATTATCCTGTTTGATGGACATTTGCATTGTTTTCTATGAATATTCTTATACAAATCATTGTGTAGACATACGTTTTTATATTTCTTGAGTAAATGCTTAGGAGTAGAAATACTGGGCCATAGGTTAGATGGCTGTTAAACTTTATTAGAAACTATTTTCCAAATGATAGTACTCTTTTACACTTTGCCAGCAATGGATGCAAGTTCCAGTTGCTCCACATCCTTGTTAGTAATAGATGTTGTCATTTAAATTTTTTTTACCGTTTATTTATTTTTGAGAAAGATACAAAGAGCATGAGTGGGGGAGGGGCAGAGAGAGAGGGAGACACAGAATCCCAAGCAGGCTCCAGGCTATGGGCTGTCAGCACAGAGCCCAGTGCAGGGTGAGATCATGACCTGAGCTGAAGTTGGACACCTAACCGACTGAGCCACCCAGGCGCCCCAATGTTCATTTTAATTTTAGCTATTCTAATAGATGTGGAATGTATCTCGTTGTGATTTTAATTTGCATTTTTATGATGACTAAGATGTTGAATACCTTTTCTTGTACTTTTTGGCCACTCTTGTATCACCTTTTGTGAAGCATTTTACTTTTTTGCCCATTTTTAACTGGATTGTCTCTTTGTGACTGATTTATAAGAGTTTTTTATGTACTCCAGACGCAGTCCTTGGTCAGATAGATGTTTTGCAAGTATTTTCTCTCACTCTGTGGACTGCTTATCATTTCTTAATGGCATCTTTAGACAAACAGACATTTTTTATTATTGTGAAGTCCAATTTATCTATTTTTAATTTTATGGTTAGTGCTTTTCATGCCTTATCTATGAAATCTTTACCTCTTCTAAGGTTGTAAGAGATTCTCTATGTTTCTTCTACAAGTTTATGATTTTAGTTTTTATGTTTACTATGCTCTCCTTGAATTAATCTTTTGAATGTGCTGTGAGGTAGGGAATGAAATTAATTTTTCCCCCTATGTTTGTCCAGTGTTCCAGCACCATTTGTTTTAAAAAATTTCTTTTCTCCGTTAATTTGCCTGGATTCCTTTGTCCCAAATCAATTGGCCATATATGTGTAGCTCTATATCTTTATATATAATCTTTATGCTGTTCCATTGATCTATTTTTTGATCCTTATGCCAGTAGCATATTGTTTTGATTGTATAGTTTTATTTTTTTTAAGTTTATCTTGGTTTATCTCTTCTAGATTCTTTGTTTTTCTGTATAGATTATAGTAGCAATACGCTTCTTAATTTCTTCCAAAGAACCAAAGCCTGTTGAGATTGTGAAACTCATATGTATATGTTGAAACTCATATATATGTTGACCCATATATAGAAATATCACTGAATTTTTTTTGTATGTTGACCTTGTATCCTGTGACCTTATTAGCTCTAGTAGTTGTTTTGTAGATTTCTAATGATTCTCTATATGAAAATCATGTCATCTAAAAATACAGTTTGACCATTTTTAATATGTATGTGTATAAGAAATATATAAGCTATGTTTGAAGACCAAGAGACAAAGAAAAACACAAACCCATAATGTAAGCAAAAAAGAAAAATAGTTTCTGATTTTTTTCAATGTTCCTTGTTTCAAAGTGGCTGCTGCTTTAAATTAGTCTTTTTAACTGGGATTATTGTTAATTCTTTTTTTCTTTGTGGATACCCATAAGTAATATTCAGGTTTGTCATCATCGATGTTCTCCTGGCGACTTTAGTAATCCACTTAATTTCCTTGGGCGTCAGTTTTCACATTTTTAACATGATGGGATTCAACTAGATTATTTTCTCTCTAAAGTGTCTTCCAGACTCCTGTGAGTTCACCATTTTAACTCTCAATATATCAGAGGCAGGCAGGCATAGAAAGGGTGTTTTTTTTTTTTTAAGTTTCTTTACTTATTGTATTATTCCTCCGTGTGCACGCAAGTGGGGAAGGGACAGAGAGAGAGGGGGAGAGAGAAGGAGAGAGAGAATCCCAAGTGGGCTCCATGCTGACAGCACAGACTTGGGGCTTGATCTCCTGAACCATGAGATCATGACCTGAGCTGAAATTAAGAGTTGGATGTTTAACTGACTGAGCCACCTGGATGCCCTGAAAGGGTGTTTTAAGGGCACATTGTAATTCCTGTTATTTCATTACAGGTATGCTAGGGAATTATGAAATGATCAGTTAGAGTTCATTACTAATTCTGTTTATCCTGGAAGGTTTGTCCTCATTTTGTTCCATTAATGTCTCTTGTTTGTTCCATTTATGTCTCTGTGTTGAGAGTTTATAGTTAACTCACTTGAATTTTTCTCTAACTTTTATTTCTAGGCTTCATAGAGCCCAGTGTGCGATTAAACAGACTCAGGTAACTGTTCAGAAAATTGGAAAGGAAATTGAAGAAAAGCTAAGACTCACATCTACAAGCAATGAGTTGGTAGGTTTTTATATATATTTATTGTTTAGACTCCTTGATTGCTGAATGTTGATCATCATATTCTTCTTGTGTTAATTAATTTTTTTCCAAAAAGCTTTATTTAGGTATTTTTTCTTTTAATGTTTCACTGAGACTTATGTTGGCATTTAAATATTGGAAAACACTTTCCCATCTCTTAATGGAACATGCAAAAAAAAAAAAAAAAGGACCTGCCTTTTCTGCTAGATGAAACTTTAGATGACATACAATTACTTAGAAAATAATTAAAAGCTATTTTATTAATGTCTTACTAATGTGAACTCTAGACACAGACTATAGTGAATGGGAAATAGCTGCCAAAAGAAAAAACAAAAACCTTTAGGGACTAATCTCTGCTTAAAAGATGAACTTAAAATTATTTGGAGTAAACTTAATAGGCTGGTTTATGGACAGTGTTCTCTTTGGGGAAAGATTCCTTTGATGAGGCATTTCCAAAGAAATAGAAATTCCAACCCAAATGGACAGATTCAAGATATTAGTGTAATTTGGGGTTGCTCTAGACTCTTTTCTAAATTAATTATTTTTAAAAATACTAATTTTGGAATAAAGATTCTATCTTTGAGCAGAATAGTGGGTATAACTAATAAATTGAACTTTTCTCGAAATGAAACCCCATGGCTATGGACAGCTTTTGATGATATCTGTGCTCAAATTAAGTCCTAACTAAAAAACTTTGAGTTGTTTTTTTGTTTTGTTTTGTTTTGTTTTGTTTTTACTAACTCATTTTCACAGAGAGGCAGTATCTTCCAGTTGTCATTTATAGCGTATCAACTTAGGAAAAGACCTTTTTATCTCCAAACAAAAGTTCCATATCATCTTGAAGATTTGCCCAAGATAATAGTTTAATAGATGAATTATAGAAAAGCGATGCAATTAACCACTTACACGGACCTCCTCTCTCATGGACTTTGAAGTTAATGGATGATACTGTATTTAAACTATACGAAATTGCTGATTTTGACCTATAAATGGCAGTTTCATATAATTCAACCTAACATATAAAATGACTAGTGCTGTACCTGGCACATAGCAGGCACACAGAATATGGCAGCTGCAATAACTATAGTAGTAATATTTATTCATACGACTTTTCTTGCCTATGGAAAATCTTCCATTTTGGAGAAGCTGTTAAACCATGTCTTTCTTGTTTTAACTTAGGCTCAGTCAAGGAAGAAATTCCAGACCACAAACATATTGGAAAAGGAGAAAAAAACAGATAATTTTAATCCTTTCTGTAGTGTACAGAAATGCCACATTTTTAGAACCTTTGTCTGAGGAGAAATTGCTAGGGTTTTTTTTCTTTCTTTCTTATTTTCGTCTCCCCAAGGCAAGACTGGGAAATTACTTATTCCATTAAATGACAGCATATGTTTTGTCTCAGTATGAAAAAATGTATGTTTAATCCTATTTTTCTAAAATATAAGTGGTGACACATAGAGCAAGGTGATAGAATGTGTGAGTTTAAAGAGGTCAGGTTCAGAGGTTCACTTTGTGTTTTTACGCTGCCTGGTCAACATAGAAGAGAATCATTGATTTTTGAACTAAAAGTGAACCTAGAAATCATCTACTTCCTGTATAACCCCACTAAAGCCAGCCTTCCTCAGCACACTCAACCCCCTTCCCCATTTTATTTTTCTCCTATTATTACCCCTTAACATGCTATATACTTTGCATATGTACTTTGTCTGTCTCTCCAAACTCTACGAGGGTAGGGATTTTTGTCTGTTTTTCTTCACTGCTGTATTCACCATGTCTAGAAAAGTGTTTGACACATAGTAAGTGCTCAATAAATATGGAATTTAGGAATGAATCTAGCATGTTAAATAACAAAATTCAGCCAAGAAAATTTGAATTTCTATGTGGCTTTTTCAAATGACACAGGAATCAATTGGGCAATACCTTATCTAGCAAGTTAAATTGTACAAAATGGAAGGTTTTTATAGAAGGAGGGTGGGGCGAGAAAGTTATTAGCAAAAGAAGAGGATTGTTCCAGGCAAGGCCTGCCTCCTTGGGGGAAAAGCCAAGAGTCTTATCATGCAGATTGCCTCATCCTTTTTGTGGGGATACAGAGGGCCTAAGGGTCAGACTCATTGGCAAAGACTGAAAAAATCCTAGCTGGCCATTTCCAGAGGAGGTTTGAAATGCAGTTAGATTTCATAGTATGTACCAGTTTGGGAACTCCATCTAAGTGACACCATTCTGGGCCTGAAAATTTTCTTTCTTTTTTGTGAGCAAGCATACTCTCCTCCATACTACAGGATGGAGAATGAGGCCTGAAGGCAGGAAGCAACTTTCCCATAATCATTTCACAAGTGGAGGCAAATTTTGGTTTACTTGTCTTCTTTCAGGCAGTAATGCCATGTACTTGTTAATTTTCTACTTTGAGATTCACCTGTAGCAAATTAGAAACTTTACTGTTACCTTTTTTCCTCATTCCCTTTCTAAATCCCCAAGGTCATCATACTCCAACCCAGACAGTTTGAATTTTTAAGAATTGACTTTAATTTTAGCCTAAGTATAGTCAGTCAGAAGGCGTATTTGATGCTGAAAGAAATCAGATTACTTTGGGGGTCCCTGGGTGGCTCATTTGGTTAAGCATCCGACCACGGCTCAGGTCATGACCTCACAGTTCGTGGGTTTGAGCCCCTCATCGGGCTCTGTGCTGACAGTTCAGAGCCTAGAACCTGCTTCAGACAGAGCCTGGAACCTGCTTCAGATTCTGTGTCTCCCTCTTTCTCTCTGCCCCTCCCCTACTAGTGCTTTGTCTCTCTCTGTCTTTCAAAAATAAATAATTGTTAAAAAACAGTAAAAAAAAAAAGAAATCAGAGTACTTTGTAAGATCAAGTATAACTTTCTCTGTTATAAGAACTTGAGTTCATACTTGATGGCTTTTAAAAGATTTAGCATCTTCTCAAACTACATCAATGGCCAACGTATCTTTTTGACATTTATTTGTTTCTTATGAAATTTCTGCTGTTGTCATCTTGAACTTTGCTCATATGTTTTGGATTTTGTCAAATGCCTTTCCTATATCCATTGATAATTGTATTTTTGTTTTTCTGTTTTCTCATATCATGGTGGTAAAATACATTGATGTTTGAATGTTAATCCAACTTTGCATTCCTGGGAAAAGCCCCTCTTGTTCATGAGGAAATATTTTTTATATGTATTGCCAGATTCAATTTGCTAAAATATTTAAAGGATTTTTGTGTCTCCATTCATTAAGGATATTGGTCTGGTCTGTAGTTTGTTTTCTTAGAATCTCTTTGTCTGGTTTTGTTGTCAGAGTGATGTTGGCTACAACCCAGTGAGTTGGGAGGTGCTTTTTCTTCTGTTTTCTGGAAGAATAGGTGTAGAATTGGAATTATTTTTTAAGTGTATGGTAGAATTTACCAGTGAAGCTATCTGGACATGGAATTTTCTTTGTGTGTTTTGAACTAGGAATTTAGGGGGCGCCTGGGTGGCGCAGTCGGTTAAGCGTCCGACTTCAGCCAGGTCACGATCTCGCGGTCCGTGAGTTCGAGCCCCGCGTCAGGCTCTGTTTCCGATTCTGTGTCTCCCTCTCTCTCTGCCCCTCCCCCATTCATGCTCTGTCTCTCTCTGTCCCAAAAATAAATAAACGTTGAAAAAAAAAAAATTTGAACTAGGAATTTAGTTCTTTCGTATTTGGGGGTTACTGAAGTTATCTCCTTCTTGGGTGAGCTTCAGTTTAGTAGCTTACATTTTTCAAGGATTTGTCTATTTCATCTAAGAGGTTATTCTCTTTAATTTTAGCTGTTCTTGAGGGTGTATAGTGTTTTCTTAGTTTGTAACACATTTCTATGGCAGACATTTTTCATATCTTTATTGGTCACTTGTGTATTCTTTAGGAAGTGTAAATTTAAGTATTTTTGCCCATAAAAAATAAACTATTTATATTTGCAGAAAATTTGCAAAGATAGTTCAGAATGTTTCCATATAACTTTCATCCAGTTTCCCCTAATATTAACCTCATCTATAACCATGTTACATTTAACATTGTACAACATCAAACTAAGAAGCTAACATTGATATGTTACCATTAACTGTGGGCTTTATTCAGGTTTCACCAGTGTTTCCACTAATGTCTTTTTAAAAAATAACTAGACTTTATTTTATAGCAGTAGTAGATTTATAGAATTATGACAAAGACAGTACAAAGTGTATACCCTACAGCCAGTTTCTCCTGTTATTAACATTTTACCTTAATGATACATTTATTATAATTAATGAACCTATACTGATAAATCAGCATTAACTAAAATCCATGCTTTCTTCAAATTTCCTTAATTTTTACCTAATGTTCTTTTCTGTTCCAGAATCCCATGAAGAAAACCATATTACATTTAGTAGGCCTGCTTCCTTTGACTCTTCTTGGTTGTGAAAATTTCTCAGACTTTCATTGTTTTTAATGACTTTGACAGTTTTGAGGAAAACTAGACAGGTATTTTATAGAATATCCTGTGATTGGGATTTGTCTGTTGTTTTGCCATGATTAGCCTGAATTCACTGTTCCAGTATCCAGCCCAGGATACCACATTGTCTTCCTAGGCTTCTCTGATCTATGACAGTTTCTCATTCCTTCCTGCATTTAAATCGCCATTACTAATCCCTGTTGATATTTACCTTAATCACTACTTGCTTACGGTGGTGTTCCCTAGGTTTATCCACTGTACTCTCCTTTGGAGTATTGTTTCCATACTCTTAATTTTTTGAAAGCAAGATACTACGTCCAGCCTACACTCCAGTAGAGGGGACTTAGATTCCACCTTCTGAGGGAAGACTGCCTACATATGTTATTTAGAATTCTTTGTGGGGAAGATTTGTCCTGCCCCATTTATTTATTTATTCATCAGTATGGACTTTTATATATTTATGTTATACTTTAGGTTATAATCAAATACTGTGTTATTTATTTTCTTGCTCACCTTGTGACATTGAGA